AGAATTGAGACTGTAAGGAAGTCTTTATTTTAATGGATCAAAACTTTTTAATGATATTCCTAATAAACTGAGGGATCTTAACTGAGTCATGATTTTTAAAACTCGTATTTTAGAATTCTATAGATCGCAAGCTTTTTAATTACTTTTAAAGATGGTGACTGTATTTAGGCTTTTTAGTTTTTTTTTTTTGCAGGGCCCTTATTGATATCAGCATTTTATGCTGAAGAGGTCGCCCTGGTTAAAGAAAACATTTCTTATTTTATTGTTATTACTTAAAGAGGTGGTTGTGTGTCTTCACATGCTTAGCGACTCGTGTTGTTCATCTTGAAGTAGCGTGGGGGCTCGATACTGATAGTTTTCTTAATGTGTTAACAATAAACTGAAGGAGCTTATAAACCAGATGGACAAGGATAAGATTCAGCGTATGACTACAAACAAGGGAATAAAGTAGAAATTTAACCCTCCTGGAGGTTCCCACTTCGGCGGAGTACATGAAATAATGTTTGAAGCCGCTAAGAAGGCAATATATGCTGTTCTGAGAAGCAGTGATATCACGGATGAAGAACTGACCACACCAACCATTTTTTGTATGGACAAATGGGAGGACAGTTTGCACCGGAGAGTGTTGGTACTATGAGATTCAATCCAAGGAAGAGATGGTGAAAGGTGCAAGAGTTAATCTCTCGAGTGTGGTCTAGATGGTTAAAAGAGTATTTACCTACTCTAAACGCTCTCTCAAGTGGACTGAAGTCGTCAAGGACCTAAAGGAAGGCGACATCGTGTAGGTTCTGGATCCAAAGCTGCCACAAGCACAGTGGCCATTAGGACGTATCTTGGGGACGTATCCTGGTCAGGACAGACATCCGCGCGTTGCGAAAGTTCAAGTAGGAGACAAAACTGTGGTGAGATCAATCCATAAATTGGTACCACTTTTCAAAGCGAGCTTAGTTGAGATCATTTAATGTTAAACTGACCGTGTAATACACACTGCAGTCCCCTCAGTGCGGGTAGGAGGAATGTTGAGAAGAGCGTGACTTTGCGTGTCATTACCTTGTGTTGTGCCTTTTTTGTGAGACAAAGAGAGACAGCTGTCAAGTGATTTTGTGGATAAAAACCGCGCGGTTTGCGCTGAGTCTGTTGGGATTTGGGATTTGCCGGGCGTCGTTGAGTGTTTTGATCGTGCCTCGCCATTTCTTTCTGTTATTATTTTTTAATAAAGCGTTGTGTTGTCATCTTGGAGTTCGTTTATACCTTCGCAACAATTTCATCTCTGCATACAGACCAAATTACAGTGCGAAACACCTCTATTAAGACTGACAGAAGAATGGAGAAGTCGTGATATTAAAGAGACTGTAACGATTGTTTCTAAGGACTTATCAAAGGCTTTCGATAGCATTCCTCACGCCCTCTTGTTGGCCAGACTCAAGGCCAATGATCTTAGCGAAATGAGCATTGAACTCTTGAGGAGCTACCTTTCTGCAACAATACCACACTTAAAATTGGAGACACGTTTTCTGAATGGGAACTGGTGAGAAGAGGAGTCCCCCAGGGAAGTCTCCTTTGTCCCATATTTTTCAATGTTCACATCAATGATTTATTCTACCATATTAAGTAGGCAAACCTGAATGTCTATGCTGATGATTAACAGTTGTACTTGTCTGACAAGGACCTAGAAACACTGAACACACGACTGGAACACAAACTTGAATTTGATAACAGTGTAACTATTGACAAGGATTTGAGCTTTACTCGTCACATCTCACAGATATGTAAGCAGGTTAAAAAACAAGCCAGTGTTTTTAAGAGATTTAAAATTGTTAATACCAGAGATGTCATGCTACGTTTTATACAAGGCTTTCATCCAACCACACCTTCAATATTGCTCTGTTATTTGGCATTTTTGGGGCACTAAAAATTGTGATAGATTGTAGTCTTTGAACAAACATATTTTACAATTTACTTTCAATGATTTAATGTCTAGTTATGATGAACTATAAAAGAAAGCAAAGATAGCATCCCTATTAACCGGAAGACTTCCCAAAATTCTTATGGTAGTTTTCAAGAGCTTGCTTGTTTCTACATACCCTGGATATCTAAAAGAACTATTCTTTCTTCGTAACTCCAGTTATTAATTAAGAGGAAAGAATATTCTCACCTTACCTCTACCATGAACAACAAATGACGGACGTGAAAGCATCGGATATCAAGCAGCAAAAATGTACAATTTGCTTCCAGACAGTATGAGAACAAGATATCCTTTAAAGATTTTAGGACAGCCATTAAGAAAAAGAAAATGAACTTTTGGTGGTAGTTTTAATTAATGTCTTTCAATTTAATAATAATAATAATAATTTTTATTAAAGATAATTCACTAAAATTCTTTTCCTACAATATAGTATAAACTTGATTAAATCTGTCATAGATCTCATTTCACATAATTATTTCATTCTAATGATTACATTCAATCGATTATAATCTGTTCCTTTCTAATCTTATCCTTAACTACTTCCGAGTTCAATCTAGCTCAAGGGAAATATCATGGAAATCTTATTTGAAGATAAAAAAAAAACATCCATCTTATATATTAAAAAGTCTAAAAATATTCTCAAACAAAAAAAAAAACTATTCTCTAAATCCTGCTTGTTCTTTTTCGATCTCAAAGTCACAATGTTCAATGTTCAGAGGAACATACCTAGTGGTGCGTGAACCTCTTAGGCAAAGTAAGGCGGACCTTAGAAGGGCGAAGGACACTTTTGAACGTATCCATGAGATCGTTGTGCTGTACTCCTCTCCTTTCTTAATAGACATGAGTTCCGCTAATCTACTGTGGAAACGCTTGCATTCGTCCGCCATGCCTCTGGTAGTAGTGAAGACTAAAGGTGTAAAAGTCCCTCGTTCAACGTTCAAAACCCTGTTCGCGTATAACCTCTTCTTCTCATCTTCATGTTTGCGATAAATCTGCTGAATGGTGAGATCTTTGTAAGACTCTGCGTTTGGGTGGAAAAACCCTTACGTCAAAAGAGGCAGAGCCTTGCCTATCCCAGAACCCACGAGCGTGCACATCCAATCGGGCATCGACACAATTTGTCGAATTTAATAACGTTAGATCTGCCCCACAGGGGATTCCCTGTGGGGTGCCTCAAGGTTCTATTCTTGGTCCCTTATTTTTTATCCTGTATGTTAATGATTTGAACAATGCTTCCCTGCTTGATGCAATCTTGTTTGCTGATGATACAACTTATTTATCTCCCATAATGACCCTGTTTACCTAATTAACACATTAAATAGAGAATTAAACAAATTGTCAACCTGGTTTGCAGCAAACCGGCTCTCCTTGAATTTAGCCAAGACTAATTTTATGGTATTCAAGCCTTGGCAAAAGAAGCAATCCTTTGAATTTCAAGTTTTCATAAATGAGCAGCCTATTCTTCGTGTTTCTGAGACCATGTTTTTGGGTGTTTTATTAGATGACAATTTGACCTGGAAATCGCATATATCCTTAACAGCAAATAAATTATCCAAATCTATAGGTATTATTCATAAATGTAGGTTTTTTTCTCTCTACTCACTCCCTTCGTACTTTATACAATTCTATGATCCTTCCATATTTGTATTATTGCAATTTAGCTTGGGCTGGTACCTATAAGTCAAACCTTCAAAGAATTGTAACCTTACAGAAACGTGCGTTAAGAATAGTAAGCAATTCTACATACATTGCCCATACTGGCCCTATTTTAAAGGAACTTAAACTCTTAAAATTTCATGATATCCATTCGTTTCAATTAGGTACTTTTATGTTTTCATTCAAGAACTCTACACTCCCTTCCAAATTCAATAACTTTTTTTTACTGAATAGTCAAATCCACAATTATAATACTAGGAATGCTCAGTCCTTCCGTTTGCCACTGTGCAGAACGAACACCAGGAAGTTTTCAATTTACTTTCAAGGTCCAAACTTTTATAATTCGTTAAATTCTGACATAACTAGTTCTCCCTCCTCCGCTTCTTTTAAAAGAAAGCTTAAGGAATTTCTTCTCTCTAAGTATTAGCTTCTGTAAGGCAGTAATTCTTAACTAACTTAGTTAATATGTGTGTGCGTGTGTGTGTGTGTACGTGTGCGCGGTCAAAGTTAATTACCATAAGTCCATATCGTAATTCTAATATAAGATTAGTTATTTTAAGTGAGAAAGCCTGACTTGTTATAAGCCTCGTGGTTTCTTTCAGGTTTTCTCGCCATTTATTTTCTGTCATCAATTTTCTTCATTTTTTTTTTTCCATGTGTAAATGTCGTATATGGCAAATAAATATTGTATTGTATTGTATTGTATTGCATCCGGTGCTGGGTTCATACCCCTCGTCAGCACTTCTCCCGTTATCTCCTAGAGAACGGTTTCCACTTGCACATCGTGGCAAACAGTGTTTAGCAAATCAGCCTCAAGATCACGCAGCTCGTTGTGCCTCTGGATGATGAATGCTCCTTGTCTACACACCATGGCATGATCCACCGTAAAAGCAGCTCCGCAAATACAAGTGGAGGGCATGTCAGCTATGTGCCAGTCATAGCAGAGATGAACGGCATCCCTGAACTCTCTCTTGTTTAAAGAAAAGTTCATATCGTTTAACGGGATAACTGTTAGACAACTAGACTTGCCCTTTCCTTGTGTCATCAGGGAGTACGCCCTTTACTTCCTCTAGCCTTTCTCTCAGATGTTTTTCATTCTCCCTTCGGTTGTACTGCTGCATTTTCCGTATGTCATCATCATCGCAAGCTCGAGTGTCTGAGCCTCTATCTGCTTTACCAGAGGCTGTGTTACCCTGATTGAGGCTTTATACTCCTTAGTCGCGTTTCGGCATGGGTTTGTGAGACCCAGTCCCCCTAGCCTCACCGGAAGTGCTAGTAATTCACGCTCAGCTGGTATACAAGTGTGCCCTATCATGGCAGGTATGAGGACATTGCCTATTGCGCGCTCTAGCGGCTCCAGCAGTTTTTCGATGTCAGGCAGTGTTCTGAGATAATAAGTCTAACGATGTTTCGATCCAATAGTAAAGGCTGCATATGAGGCTTATGGATTAGCTGCAGCGAATTCTGCGAGCTTCGCCACTTGCTCGACCCAGTCCTCTACCTTTCCTCTCATGTACTCCTCTAGGTAAGATCTAGAGCCTAGCACGGTGCCCAGACGTTTTTAGCCTTGAGTCAATATTTTTATTGCCGTGTCACCGAATACTTCCATCGCTTCATTCTCCTTTTCTGGTTTGGTGACCAACCAGCATTTCTTCGCATTGGGGTAATACCCCAGGCTAGGTCCCATTTCATTCAGCCCGTCCCACCACTTCCTTTGCTCTTCGAGCGCACCAGCGCATGTTGCATCATCAGCGTACCAGCATTGCTTTGCGTTGCTGGATAGATTGAGATGAGTGATTAAAGGCTCAAAGCTTATAGCATAAAAGCTCATTGCTAAGGGGTCACCCTGTGTAGTGCCCTCTGCAGATTTCAGTTCTTTACTGCCTGTGACAAAGTGGCGCGCAGGAGCCCTATAGGTGTTGGTGACGTATATGGCTAAAGTAGGACAAAGAACAGCGACATTATGCAAGGCATAATTAAATTAAATTAAATTAAATTAAATGAATTAAAAGCGTTCGAAGCATCAATTAGTAACACGGCATCTGCATTGTCAGCATCAAATATACCATGCATGGCGTGAATGGCTCCTTCAGCTCCACTCTTCAGACCCGCGCACACTCGTAGTAGGCCGCTGGCCTCAATAATATCATGCTTTGTCTTCCTTGTTACACACTTGGCGATTATTCTCCTCACCACCTCTCCGACTCCGATCGGTCGCACCTCACCATTGCTCTTGTCGAGTGGAATCAATCGATTTGCCAAAATTGGTTCGATTGAAGCAGGATCAACAAGCTCTATTCAAAGTCTCTTAGCAAGCATGGCTTTGGCGTCGCAAAGACTTGCGCTGGACTTCTTAAAGGACTTGCTAGTGAGCATTCTTCTAAAACCATTTGCATCTATCCCCGAAGGACCGCCAGAACCTTTTGTCTTAAGTGCTGCTTCTTTTATCATTTTTCCATTTATTTGGTGATAGATAACATGAAGGATATCTTCGATTTGGCCAAAGAATGCCCCCAGAGTCCTGTTCACTATGGTACCGAAGAGCGGAATTTATCTGACCCTCCAACACCGCTTTTGCGAACATCTTAGCTTTATTCGATGGATCATTTCTTCGAGGCTTTGTGAGGCGCTTTTGTAACATTTGCCCTTCGTGTAGGAGTGTTGTTTATCTCGCCCTCTTTCCATAGAACTAACCTCCTTGACAAGCACTCTTGATGATCTTTCGCTTTTGAACCTTGACTAGGTTTTTGCAGCGCTAATGCCAAAAGAACAATGGCCGCTGTTAGAGCTATATGGTGCATTTCCGATTTATTTTTCCAGTCATTAATGTGCTTGGCTACTTTATCAATAAAGTCACGACCGATTTTCCCATATGAGACTAGAAAGGTGTTCTTCCACCAGGTCGTCACTTTATTCTACGCATGGGCAATAGATATTTTTAGCCAAATTTCCGCTCCGTCGCTTTTGCGTCCCCAATAAACACTTGAAGGCTTGCTCACGGGTTCATAATCAGGTAAACACACTGGCATCTCAAAATTATCTTGGGGCGGGCTTTCGACACTCGTAGGATCATTAGCACTTCCGTCCTCTAGGGACCGTGTGGCATACGTATGTAAATCCAAGTTACAGAGCAGCAGTGAAATATTAGAATTTTCGCATTGGTGACCGATAATATTTTGATTTTCACTTTCCCCAAATTCCCGACTAGAACCGTGGCCGTGAGTTGCAGCGATATATGAAGTATTCGCGCTAGAACTTCCTGCCCGAGCACTCTCATCAAGTTCCATTTTTTCTAGCCTCCATGCCTGATCTAGTAGGTTTTGGATAATTTTCTTTCTTGAAGATATTAGCTCAACAGCGCTACTATGATAATTCGAGTTGAAATAAAGTGTATATATGTAGGTATGTGACCGCCAAGTCGCCGCCCTGAGGAGACACATTAATCGCTACATTAATGAGGACTATGATGTCGAGACCGCCAGTGACATGAAAGCTGCTATCGACTTGCATGGGGGCGTCAAAGGCTGCAATTCAGCGGTGTGCAAGGTTGACAAAAGTTCTCAAAACATGACCAAGCACTGGCTGAGTGGCGCCCACTGAAAGTGGAGAGATCATCGCTTGGTGGGCCTACAATTTCTGACCCAGAAAGGTATTCTCCTCAGTGTCCCGGATGTGTCTCAGAACCCTGCAAGGCCCAACGAACCTACAAGTTTACCAGGTGTTCAGTAGTCCTAACATGCTGACTGGTGTCTTGTGCCCCTTCCAGTAAGCTGGAACAGCAGCCTACAGCACTTACAATGGAGCCTATTGCTGCAGAAGGGATTCAGCATCATGAAGAGAGTGTAGTCTTTGGCTGCCCAGTGGAGGGTTGTATAAAGGTTTACCAAAGTCACCACAACCTTCAGCAACACCTTGATGCTGGGAGACACCTTCTAGCACTAGAGAGAGAGTCCGCGTACAACGTGATAAAGAAAAGGTGGACAGAGACGTGCAAGTCAATTTCTGGTAGCTAACCTACGGAGATTGACCGATGTTCCTCCCGTGTCCCAGAAGTTGCTGAAGAGCCCAACTTTGATGCATATGTGGGTGCTCTTAAGCTTCAAGACTGTGATGATGTTTACGTGTGGAAATGAATGTAGGTAATGTAATACACTCGGGACCTATGGAGTTGCATCTATATATAAAGTGTGTATTTAATATATTCTGAGAGTTCTTTTTGGTTAAGAGTGTGCAGTAGATGCGAATAAATGGTTTTAACTTAACCATGGTGTACTTCATTGGCGACGAGGATTTCAAGGTTTCCTCGCGGGTTTCAGGAGTTTCATCTGGGATTTCATTGGCGGTTTTGCCAGGGATTTATTTATTTTAGAGATCCTAGGACACAGTGGATCAGAAAAAACTGCACAACAAGCAGTGGTGTTGGCGGTTCTTTAAGTGGCTCTGGAGTGGCTTCGGTTGTTTTAGATATGAGTGGATTGGAAACATTTAATCTGAAGAGAGAGGCACGCAATTTAAGTCTGCGGTGGAATAGATGGAAGTGGGCATTTAATTTGTATGTGACGGGAAAATGCAAAGGTGAGCTCTTCTATCTCTTGTTGCCGGTATGGACGCTCAAAAAATTAATTTCACAATAGAAAGTGATGGCGGGGATGTGAGTTTTTAGGCAACACTTCAGGTGCTTGATTATAATTTTGTTCCCGACTTGAACATTCCCTTTGAGAGACATTTGTTTACAAAAATTTCGCAGGAGAGCGGAGAAACTGTGGACCAGTTTATGTGTAGATTACAGCAGCGAGCAGCGAGCAGCAACTTGTGAGTTTTGTGTTAACAAGGATGACTACATTTGTGATCGACTCAGACAAGAAGATCCGAAGAAGCAGTTGATCGACAACTGAATCAATACAATATGGACCAAGCGGATCAGGTCAATGCAGTAGGTGGAAAAATGGACAGGAACTGGAATCACAGGAAGTTGCTTGCTTTAGTTACTGACAGGAAGGATACCTTAGTCAGGATAAGAGGTGCCCAGTGCGAGGTCAGGCTTGCAGGAAGTGCGCTACGATAGGCTATTTCAGAGTTAAATGCCCTCAACTCTATCAACAAGGTGGTGCTCAGTCTGGATTCAAAGGAACAAGGAATAGCAGAGATACTGGTGGATTTGGTCAAGGTGGATGTGGACGCAGAGGACTAGGGCAAGAGGAAGACCTTGTGACTGGAGGACCTGGCCCTGGAGAAGAAGACAATGGAGATTTTGCAACACCAGGTCGTCAGCTAAAACCCGACTATGCCTTTTCAGTGGAACAGTTGGATGATCGCAAGGAACAAAGAAGTGCGTTGATAACTCTGATCATTGGTAGTGTGGATGTACCTGATGTTCTTGATTCAGGAGCTTCATGCAATCAAACACCAACATCATATAACCCTGTTACATGATATTTAGCTGCAAAGTGAGATCCAAAATGCCAGAGCTAAAAGGAGAAACAGTTGGTGTTCCAGGTAAAGATGTGCAAGAGCGGGATTTGTTCGGTAAGCTAAAGGGAAAAGCTTATGCAGATCTCAAGAGGGGTGCCACGCTCAAGAGCATACGTGTTGGCAACACGGTTCTTTTCAAAGCAGAGAAAACTAACAAGTTGTCTACCAATCTCAAACCTGATCCCTTTAAAGTCATTCATAAGACAGGGTCAGAGGTATCGCTTAGGAACAAGGCTGGTGTTGAGCTGAAAAGGAACACTATGTTTATAAAGAAGTGCAATGAGTGCAGAGATGTAACCAATGGCGAAGAAGACCAAGTAGTACAGGCAGGTTCTGCGTGGATAAGCCAAGGGCAAGCCAAATTCCAGAGATGATGCCAAAAGAATTTCCAGGAACTTGTGAAGTATCTGAAAAGCCTAAGTACAACCTAGGCATTTCCCTGATAAGGAAGATACCGGAGCAGGAAGGCCTGTTCAGAGGTTGACCCAGACTGTAAGACCGCCTGATAGTTATAAAGCCATATAAGGACTTTAAACTAGATGTCTCGAACTTCTTTTCCTTTTTACTGAGTGACTAGCTTAATTCAAATACTTTGATTTATATGTTGAACATTTTAGGAAAGGAGGAAATATAGTGCATAGTGATGCCAACGTGTGAAAATGAATGCAAGTGATGTAATACACTCGGGACCTACGGATTTACACGTATATATGAAGCGTGTATTTAATTTATGCTGAGAGTTCTTTTCGGTTAAGAGTAAGTGTGTAATGGATGTGACCTAATCTTAAGATAGTTTTCTTGCAGCATTTCATAGCTTTACATATACAAATACAATAACTAACAGTGCAATGCAGTGAAATAAATTAAATGGTAATGATTTTGTAGTGATTCTAATTGAGTTTTCAAAATGAGTTTATTTAAGGAGATTGCTTGACTAAAAATGGATGGATTGCATTGAATTTAATTGGGAAAAAAATAATTGACGAGTAAAATGTTTTTCACCTTTTGTTTAAGAGTTTTGAAGGTAGTTTTTACAGTTCTGTGAAAAAGAAAATAGAACAGTTTAAGAACCAAAAAAAATTGATGTTTGTTACGTCAGTCAAGTAGACACAATTGATTAACTATGTGTTAATACTCTCCCCTACAGCAGCTGTAACTTGAAGCCAACTTGAACAAAAGTGGCCTTACCTGGCTCTCTTTGGACATATACATTTCAAAATTTCAAAAAGCCCCCTTCCACACCTACCCCAAATCGTCATTGTGAGGCAATGCATGGCGGCTATACCGCCATTTTGTTCCCTCCTACTTTTATCTTTGAACCTGCTATTCCAAAACTTGACAAAAACCCTGATAGCCTATGCAAGTGTAATTGACACCACTCAGCTCAGGCAAATAGCACTAAATGCTCCAATAAATAAAAGCAAAAAGACATTGGTTTCCTATAGCCAACACCAGATCAAACCAAGACGTTATATCACCCTTCTGGTACCATTTAACGACAAGAAGTTAAATGTAAACTTCTATACTATAGATAGCAAGCAGAAACTAATACTTTCAGGCAAAGTCTGTCAAGCCTTTGACTTGGTCGAGCGAGTGCTTAAAATACATGTGAACCTTAAGGAGTTGCTGGATCAACACCCTGATCAGCAAAATGCATCTGGAGCCATGCCAGGAACCTTTTCGATCAACCTGCTGCACTCCTTCCCAAGGTTGTGTCCAAGCTCAAAGAAATGGAGATAGAAGGGCATCTAACAAAAGTCGCACAGCCCACTGATTAGGTCAATTCTATGGTACTTTCAAGTTGAGGTGACGAGATCAGGATCTGTCTAGACCCAGGAGACCTGAACAAACCTGTAATGTAGGCACATTATCCAACACCTACAGTTGAAGAAATTTTAGCCAAAATACTTGATGCTAAAGTGTTTACAGTCCTTGACGCTAATGAAACTTGACTATAAGTCCAGCCAACCAAAAGCCAAGAACACTCCAATAGGCAGATACAGATGGTTTAAGCTACCTTTTTTGAATCAAATCAGCTGCAGAGATGTATCAAAAGACCATGAATATGCCATTATGGATGACACATTTATCACAGGTCACAACGTTGCTCATCATGACTCGGTACTAGAGATAGTGCTCCAGCAAGAAAGAAATGCAGGCAATCGTGCTCAATACAGAGCAATTCAGAGAGCACATTTTGGGCAAAATGACTTACCTTCAGGCCGACCATAAGCACCTAGAGACAATTATCTGCAAGCCAATGGCCACAGCACCATTAAAACTAGAAGCAGTGATGCTCAAAGCGAGCAGTTACGACCTAAAACTGGAGTATCTTCCTAGCAAAAAGCAAGTTACCACTAATACCAATTCTGAACAAACTATAAGCCAATGAACTTTAACTTTGATGCAAATTTCAAAACTGGTTCCATTGAACAAGTCGATTCAATCAATTTGAGAACAGCTTTAAACAGAATACAAGATTCCTTAAAATAAGCTGCCTTGATTATCAACCTAGTTAAAGATAGGAGTTAAAAATACTCTAAACTCATAATAGAAATAAGATACACTAGTGCATAAACCGTTGCCTTCAATTGAAATTTTGACGTCTGAAATTCTATTTACTGCATAACTTGCACTTATTGCAATAAGTTATACATTGGCAAAACAGTAAGACAACTATGTGACCGATTCCGGGAACACCGTGAAGTGGAAAGAAATGACAAGGACGCATCCAAACCAGTCACTAGACACTTTAATCTCCCTTATCATTCTAAAAAGCATATAGTAGTTTGCGGCCTTTCCTTACATCTAGGCAGTGCGGACACCAATCAAAGTAAAGTCACAGGTAGTTGGAATGTTGACTTTGCCCCTAGTTGACTTTACCGCGAAAAGTCTTTGCAGCATGAGAAGTGCCACACTAAACCCTCAGCTTGCAAGCATTGGTATAGACTTTTGAAGGAGGTATGTGGCATCCCTCCGCGTTGTGGAGTTGGACAGGATTCCTGTCATTCCCCCTGGTCTCCTCCACAATAAAACAAGAATCTCAGTAGTGAAATAGATGTCGTTAATTGGGTTGATGACAGGTGATTTCATTTGAAGAGATAGAGATTTAAGGTAGAAGTAGACGGCAAAATGACAAACTTTGGAATTAATTAAGCAAGGCAGCCAAAACTTATGTTGAAATGAACATCCAGATGGATCTACAGAAAGGACAGTTCTGCAGAATTGTGAAAACATTGTAGAAAGATCACTGCCCCTTAAACACGGAGCGAGCCTTTAAAAGGTCAGCGGTTTGCACTTTGTTGGCTTACTTCGCACCGATAATGGCGGCTTTCTGCAACGGTCACTATCGTTATAAATCTTCTGCTAAATCTCTTGTGATCTGCTTTCAAGAAATGATACATTA